TGAGGGGGTGAGGGGCTTGCACCCAGCATATCATGGGGACAAGAGTGAGTGGAGGCCTGTGTTCACTGGATCTGCTGCAGCGGGCATCTTGAGGTGCAACATTTTGGGGCTTGTGCTCCCTGTTTGGGCTGTAATTCTCCCTTTGTTGTGTGCTGCAGTACATGCCAGAAGGGGGCTGGACAGATGCACTTTATTAAGATGATCAGAAAGAGCAGAGATGGAAGAAAACCTGTTAGATCCCAACTTCCTTATCCCCCTTCATTAATGCCTGCTAATTCTCAATGGGGTGTCTCTTACACCTCATCCAGCCTGTCTTTAAACCTTCCCAGTGACAGGTCTTTCATCGCTTCCCTGGGGAGGCTGTTGCACGACTGTGAGATTTAACACCACCACAAATACTCTGAGCTGTGACATAACCCTTATAACAGCCAGGGATCTCCCAGGGCTTCACAAAGAACAGCAGCTCTGTTTTCTCAGACAGGAAAGAAAAGGGAACAAAAAAAAAAATGAAATTATTTGTCCACTGTCACCCAAAAACTAGCAGCGGAGCTGGGAATCTAGCCCATGTCTCCCGAGTCCCAGTCCAGTGCTGTAACGATCATGTTTTGAGACAGTCTGATCTGTCTAATCCCCTTGGATCACTGGAGAGCAGTTAAGCTACCTCATAGATCATATTTTTGATCAATTTGCTGCTGATTTTTCTTCATGGGGTGGACTTAATTTTCAAAAGAACATAGCAGCCTGGATCATGCGTTGGAAACTGGGCTTTGTCCACCAAAGACATTGTGTGAGGGCTCTCACAGGGAAGACATCTGGTGCCCTAGCTGAGCTGTCTTATATTTAAGGCCAGCAGTAGCACATCTGCAGCGTTATTAAAGTAGATTACAAAATAATTGCAGGTCAGCCAATCAAGCCTAGTCCAAAACTGCTCTAGTGTTACCATCTTCTTTAAATGGGAGCCCTGAAAGAAGCAAATTCCCAGTTAAGAAGCGAGGGTCTGTCAAAACCAGGCTCTTGGTCTTTGCAAAGTGACTGGATGCAGCTTCTTTTTCATACAGCTCAAAACTAGGTTCCTGACCTTTTTTGGTCAACAAAAGTCCCATGAGACTTCTTGTTAGGGAAGGTAGTTCCTCTTCTGGTTTCCTTCAGCAAGTCAGTCCTGTGAGCCTACAACTACCCCCTCTGGTCCTACGTGGCGAGAGTTTTTCTTTTCCTTTTCGCCCATTCACAGCTTTTGCAGGGTTGCTGTCCATTGTCAGACAGCTGCCATGTTCCCCCAGAGGTGTCCGCCTTTCACTTTCCAGTTAAGTAATTTTTATCTGCCATCTGGGGCTGTTGCAGAGCTTACCTAGCTGTTAGCAAAAGCTCTGGAATGGAAAACATTAAATTTGGGTGAAGGGATTATTGCAATCAATATTAAGCACACTTTAGACATATTTCTTACTCTTCTGGTGTGCCCATAACCCTCTCCATATGGCCAGCTCAAGGGTTTTCAGAAACAAGGAGCCTCAGCAACCTCTGATGCGCTGCTGCTGCAGCGCTTGCTTTTCCCAGCACACTCATTACTCCACTGAAATCCCCTGGCCTTGCAGAGCACCAGAGCCTATACTGGGCTGAATAGCATCTTGGATCCTAAAAGGGAGGATGAAGGTGAAGGCTGAAAATAGACAGGGCAGCTCAAAAAGAATGTTCTTTTGAGAGATTTAACCTATGAATATTATTTTGGTGGCTTCTTTTTTTTTTTTTTTTTACACAAACCTCATTTGGACAGCAAACACAGGAGGACACAGCAGCTCTCACAGGGGTGGTGTGGAGGCAGGGACCATGGAAAGTGGTTGTGCTGTGTTTTGGGGTGCCTGGAACAGGACCCACTCCTGCTCTTGCTGCATCTCCAGATGGCGAAACAGCAGAAGCTCTCAGAAGGGACTGGCAAGGCTCTCTTGGAGCTATGCTTAAGATATGGGTTAACCAACATAGGAAATGCCAGTCTGAAGTCCGTTGTTCTACAGGTAATATTCCACAAGAGGAGACACGCAAAAGCCAATACAACTTTTACATGTTATGTTTGGGGAAAGAGGAAATTACAGGCAGTTACAAGTCCATTAATTGGAGTACAATAAAATGTGAGTTTCTGGAATAGATTTTGGAAGAGTAATCAAAGACATGGTGTTGGGAAGCAGAATAAAATGCAGTATGGTTTTAACACAGAGCATGTCAAGTTGGCTCAGTATCTTCCTTCGATATGACAATTGATTTCTGAAACAGGGCCTCATGAATCTGGATTTAAGGAAAGCACTTGATACAGTGCCCCAAGGAAATTATTATTTTAGGTGGACACAGGAAAGAGTATAGGGAAGAGACAGCAAAATGGAAGGAGGATGCTTGGATCCTTCCACAAGGAGAGGTCTAGGGACTAAACTTGTTAACAGCCCCTTCAGAAGTCAGGAGATCTGCCTGTGCTGAGGGGAAAAAAAAAAAGATCAGCAAACAGGAAGATAAGACCAGAGTCCTAGAAATGGCTAAAGGAGAGTTGTGCCAGAGCAGGCACTTGAGGAGCTGCAACACAAAGCTGCTGTAGCATGGAGGGACTTCAGCAAGTGGAGGGCACCAATGAAGAAAGACAACTGAGCATTTCTGGCAGAGGTGACAGAGGAAGAGCACATCAGGCCAGATGTTTTCAGGGGTGCCAGAGAAGCATTTGTGCCAGAATACAAAGGTCTGAGATCTCCTTTAGTGTGATGCATCCAGGTCAGCTCACCTACTTGCAGCAGGCCACCGAGGTGGCTGTAGGAATGGAGAACCCACCTTATGAAAACAGTTTTAAAGTAATTGGCTTCTCCTGCT